ACGCCTTCGAGATCTTACTTTCGCCTAAATTCATGTCATATCTGTTGGGAAATATGTGAAAGTCTTTGACCACAATATCCCGGATGAGTTGCGGTTCGTTCACAACAATCCATTTACTCATAAAGAAATACGTCCCATATATTCGACCAAACTTTTGGTAGCCAACCATCACATTGTCCGTAAACTTTGTGAAAAATTCCCAGAAGTCCACGTAATTATGCCCTTTGACACCGTGTCGGGACCAGTAGGTGTACCGGTGCCTCAAATATCTTTATATGAAATGGAATTTAAAGGTAAATTAATTAGTATATTATAATTATTTAGCATGGTATAAATAATATGACTTACAATAGAAATACCGTGATAAAGGCTATAAAAGTAGTCCAATAAATGTTTAGCTCCATAATTTCGTTCAGAGTATGACATCAGAAGATACAGATTATTATAAAGTGGATCTGTGTGTTTATCAACCTTTATATTGATTTTGACTTACTTAAATGGGTAAATATATTCGTAAGTTTTACACAAACAATACTGTATTAACACTTACATTAAAGCAATAAATCATATGCATGTATGTGTAGTTAACAAAGAAACTCCTAAAATAGCCTTGGATCTTAATGAAATTATCATTTCCAGTGCTCTGTGCACTGGTACACTAACAGTAATAAACTAACAGTGCATACAGAATATTAATATCAATAGTTACATATTTTATTTATTTATATGTCAAACAGCTATTTCTCATGTCTAACGTGAGATTCGATTTTTATTATAATGAACTTACATGTCTTAATGTTCTAAACTACATAATCGTCACTCAACAACGATAAATACGTTAATAAGACTGTAAATAATAGCAAACTGAACACAATTATCATTTGTATGTATAGTGAAAATGAATAGACCAAATATTTGCTGTTTTATCATAATTTAATAATTTAAAAGTTCATTTTGGTAGTTATTATGTAATGAATAAATTAAAATATAATTACAATTAGCTAGTTCTTTAACCCCACTCCCCCTTTAATCTCAGCATAAAGTTACATTGCAATTTAACTTTGGCATGTACCCCTCCCCCTACGAGTGCGTACATATTATGATACAGTAATAACTTTTCTACATTATATTATTTAATGATTGTATAAGATTAATGTTTGTGTAATAAAAACATTGAGTCTCATTATTTGAACGTGTAAATAAATTTAGTTGTATATGATGTGTCAATATAATTTAGAAATAAAATTTTAATTTGCACAGGGAGTATAATTTATGTTATACATGTATAAATATATTAGAATATAAGACCATGTATAAAAAAGGTTGACAAATATATTTGATTTAAATTCAATCATGTCTACCGTCTCTTAATGTTGACCAACACTTGTTTAGGGGTTAGCAAAAAGTTACCAGTGAAATAGTCCAACTGTACATAGATTCATCAAATTAATACATTTCACAAAATAAATATAAATCCACTTTTCATACCTTAAATCCCGGTGCTGTCGTGAACTCGTATTTATGTATCAACTTTGCGATACACATTCGCATCTCATTTAAGGCAAACCGTTGTCCGATGCAAAGTCGGGGTCCGCCACCAAACGGTACAAACGCGTAGGGATGGTGTGTGGGATTCACAAACCTCTCCGGTATGAACTGTTCCGGATCATCAAAATTCAAGGGATCTCTATGGAGTATATAGGGCTGAAACTCTAACGTAGTTCCCTTCGGTACTGTAATCCCTATGAGATAACATTGAGTTAAACATTACGTTTAGATACCTATCCCGTGATTACCTGTGTTTCCGAGTTTGTAGTCCTCGACGGACACCCTCTGAACGGAGCTGAGAGGGGGTGCGAGCCGTAGGGTCTCATTGATGACTGCATTGAGATATTTGAGTCCATTTAGGTTCTCATACGTGAAGTCTTCGTCCATTGCCNACAAAAAATCCCGATAAAAGTGATCACTGCGGCCAATCCCGAGGTCACTGGACAATATAATTTGGATATTTGAACTCCTCGGTGAAAGTTTTATAAGATTCAATCATAATATCCCGGTTTCCAGCTTAGGCTGAGTTCACAGTGTTCGACAGTTTTCTTTATTACAATCAACTGATGGTGTGTTATTAATTACGACTCAATATTGTACTGTACTAAACGAGAGTATTGTACAGAACTCTCTACACCTAAAGGTTAGACATTGTACAATTTGAAAGTAATTTTATTTATAACATCAAAATATAATTATAAATATTTATTATAAACTACTGTTAATTGCAATTAAATGCTATTTAATTATGTTTTATTTGAGAAATAAATGAATTGCTCTGTGGTGCTATGGTAATATTCAAATATTACGGGAAAATTCAAAATTTTGGTAATCCTAGACACACCGTCTCACACACGCCTTATGCGGATCACAGATATAAAACATGCGCTTATCAATTCACTTACTAAATATTTGTATTTATTATAATTTATTAAATTTAACTATAAATTTGAAAATCAGCAAACTAAATTAAATAAAAATTATTACGAGAATAAATACAATACACAATGAATATAACAAACTTGAAATAAAAATAAATAACAATTAAATAATGTATACTAGTTAGTTCTAAAAAATTAATTTATANAAAATAAATAACAATTAAATAATGTATAATAGTTAGTTCTAAAAAATTAATTTATAAATATTAATTATGTGTAATTAATAATATTATGTGTAAATACTGATAACTATCACAATAAATACACAAATATTGATCAAAACGAGTACAAAAAGTGCAGAAATGTCCATGTAATTTAATAACTTATCTAAAATTAACAAATATGTAACAGTACACACTGTACTCCAACTAAATATTACATAAATAACACATAATATACAGCAATCAGAGGGAAGGGATGTATGATATGTCGGATTCATTTAAATATATCAGTGATTAGTTTGCTTTGAATGAACTGCTAAATCATTATATTTGCAATTATAAACAAATTACTAATTTACTAATTATCAGACATAACCTTGGATAATCAGCAAGTCTTATTTTATGTCTGTGAAAGCCGTTACGATAATTTATAAATATTTATATATAAGCTGCAAGTACTCCAGATTAAATTAATTAACTTTATTAAATGTTAATTATTTTATACAGCATAACAATTTTGAAATAAGATGCTAGATATTATACTAAATTTTTGGACAATACTTATAACATTAATAGCGTGGTATGTCTAACATAAGTTTTAATAACATAAATTAATTACTTTTAAAATGTTTATTATAAATATTTCTAAAAACAACATATAGCCTATTAACCTACCGGTTCACCTACTGGTCCAGACATGGCGTCAAAGGACCTAAACGTATAGGAATTGAGGGATTCTTTATGAAAGTGAGCGACTTTTACACAAAAAACTGGCAAAAATACGGCCGTATATTCGGTGCATACGATTTGTTTGGCAAATGGCTTATTGTGAACGAACCGGAACTCCTACGAGACATCCTGGTCAAGGACTTCCACATATTCCCCGATCACCTACATTTCAACCTGGGCAACACCAACCTGGCGAAGGCCTTGTTTTTTCTCAATGGCAACGATGAGGAGTGGAAACGGATCCGCACGATCACCAGTCCCTCGTTTACGTCGGGAAAGTTGAGGGCAATGATGGGTAGTATCGGGGGTATTGCCGACCAGTTTGTCAAGAATCTGGATGAATATGCCGTAAATGGTATGAATTTTAAAATATATATATAATATAAGATGCTATGTCATCTAGTGTTTCAAAATAATTGTTATACTGTATAATGTTTTTGCTATTATATAAACTATTTTCCTTGAGTTCAGTTATATAGTTTACCTGTTCAGGGTACAGTTGATTAATAACTTGCATGATAATTTAGGAAAAACGGCTGATATGCGCAAATACATGGGTGCCTTTGCCATGGATGTGATCAGCGCCTGTGCCTATGGTATAAACGTGGAGTCCATTAATAACGCCAATCATCCCATTGTAGTGAACGCTAAGAAGATCCTATCCGTGGACACGAGTTTCAGTTTTATGCTGTCCATACTCTGCCCATCAATAGCCAGGTTCTTTAAACTGGAACCGTTTAATGTGAATGCAATTAACTTTTTCAATAACCTAACGGAACAAATAGTCGCCGAAAGGAAGTCAGCGATGAATACTGACTGTTAGTATA